CCCACTGCATCGATGTTTCCTGCCGCCATCTGTGGAGCTGGAGGAACTTGACAACTTGGCAAAGGATGCCACACATACGACTCTCAAGGCTGTCAACCAGGTTGTTGATCTTGGCTCCGTATAACAGACGGTATCTCTATGATAAAGTTACTTGCCAAGACCTTGAAGACTTTCAAGAAGGAAACAGGATAACATTATATCGAGAAGACCGGAAGTAAGTCCGGATGAAATAATGTGATTATGTACATACTAGGCTTATATCGAGAAATTATTTTTAAAACTACGAAATTATTTATTAATTTATTGTAATTAAACCCTCTGAAGCCGTCACACTAAGGGGATAACCACCGCATTAGACACGCATTCAGAAACTAGACCAAAATGGGGGAATCCTTCACAAGCATCAAGCTTCCTGACCCCTAACGAGGCCATTAGAGAACGTAGCAAACAATTGTATGCAGCACGTACTGGAAGCAGCGGCCTGGGAAAAGATTAATGGCGTCCCCCCTCTTGGTTTAACCATAGAAAATCGAAAGAAAATCTGAAATATTTTAGGGGAGACTTAACAAACATTATGACGGGCCAAATTCTCGAAGCAGTTACGCAAGTACTTACGAGCGAGTACACATTTTCTCAATCTTTGATGGCTTTGGTTATATTTATTAAACCGTTTACCAGCGTGAAAACTTTCCAAATAACTGTTGTTATTGTTATAGACAGCCTTCTGGTGCTTCGGAGTTCATTAACTGTTTAATAATTGTAAACAAAGCCGCCAAAGATTGAGAAAAGATGTACAGGTTCGTAAGTGCTTGCGTAACTGCTTCGTGAATCTGGCCCTGCCACTTTACCGTCAATCTATTACATTACCACAATCATATTTTAAAATTACACTAAAAATGAAAACAACAACAAAATTAATAAACACACATGAACGTTAAAAATAAAAACAAATGCATTTTTATGAATTGTATCGTTTTAATTGTTGAATTTAAATAGTTACGTAGGATTGTGTTAATAGAATAGAATTACGGTAAACTAACCTTTGGGCCGTTCATAAAAAAGGTTCATTTCAAAAAAACATTAATGTGAATATTTCATTTGTTGTACACAAATAGGTTACAGTAGCCCGCCCGCCTATAGCAGCATTAAATAGGGCGTTGCAGTATTGTCCGCTCACAAAAGCAAGGGCCCGAGTTCGATTCCCGTGCAAGATGAATCCATTTGAGAACGTAGCCTTTCACCCAGCCGGAAATACGCACCACGGATACAGGCAACTGTTGTGGGGTTACATCCTTGGGGAAGGTTGACATTGGCCTAGAGAATCTTGTGTAAGCCTATCAGGGTTACGGCCCTTAGTTCAACTTATCCTACAAAAGTTGTGGAACCCCGTACCTGCTGTTGTGTGAATGAACTGAAAATATGAGTTTTTTGTACCCCCAAAAGTTCACTTTCTGTAATATTAAAATGCACCACAAAAAGTCTATGCTAAACATGCAATTTTAAGCCTAATTTAGTACATATATGTACTATACTAGACCTAGAAAAGGACGTCCTATTTCTCGAACTCTGAGCGCAACAGTTTCTTGTAGTTTCATTTACAGTAACTATAGATACTATTAATGTGGGGGTGACAGGTTGATTTAGATACTAACTACTATATATACACATAATTATGCATGTGGGGGAGTTGAGTTTCAGCTTCGCATCAATACAAATGTATTTTCCACCATTAAAAATATTTATGACAGGCCCCATGTGATCTTGCAGTCACAGAGTGGCCTGGTGAGAGCGTTGACCGCCTAGTGGGATTGACTGGGGGCAACTTGACTGCAGGCGGGCAAGCTAAGCGACTACGCCGTGATATTCCCATAACAATCACTTTTAGCGTGAATTACGTAAAACTGTTATAACGATCCTATTAGCGCTCTAGGAGAGGCCTGAGTGCTAATAGCTCTGGGGGCTCTACCATTAGCTCTCTCTGACTATTAGCTCATTTGCTCTACCAGGTCTACAATAACGCAAGAGTTCGCTACAGGCAAACACTTTATGTAAATATTTAAGATCAAAATATCCATAGCAACTTGGTAGCAGTTCATTTACATCACATTAATACAATATATTTTAAAAATGTATTTATATGACCACGAAATCTGAATTATCGTGAATTTGGAATAAAAAAAAACGCATTTCATAGCCTATCACATCGAAAAAAAAATTCTGAACGATGAGAATTTTGATGATCTCGATGCGGCCGAGAAAATAAACTCTTAAAAACCTAATACAGATAATTTTATTATATACTTTCCGCACGCGGTAACAGGATTATAATGACATATACATCTTAAGATTTAAAATCCTTTTCAGAGCCGCATTAAAAAAATGACAGGATTAATCCAGACAGCTGCACTGGATCAGCAGTTTGTAAATACGAGTGACAGGACGACCTAAAGCCACTCCACATGCGGGTCATCCAGAGTACCACACAGAAGCGATTAGGGAGGCTATATACAATGTCTACCGTCAAATTGCCTCAAAGAATACCAGCTACACACGTCCAATTATATGTCTATGTGTCTCTCTGTCTGATTCTGTCTGTATATGCTTATTTCTGTTTCTCCTACCTCTCTCTCTCTCTCTCTCTCTCTCTCTCTTGGCGGCACCTCAGTAGAATCATCAATCCTGGCAGACTCACTTGGGTGCTTGGCGCCTCGAAACGGCTTTGCAAGTGTGTGAAACATTGAAATTTATGGAGTTACTAGCTCACCAGGATACAGCTACGGCCTCCAGCATATATGCTGAGCTCGGTGGAGAACCAAGGAAGGATGTATCATTAGCATTTTTTCTACAATTATCTCTGATAGGCTCTCGTTAGCTTTTCTATACTATTATTATTATACATGACATTATTATTATTCATTTCAGCATAAGAGGCCCGTGTTCTATCGACTCTTGTTATCCTGGTGAATGAAATGTTACTATCCACAGTATTGTGGTTCACACACACACACACACACACACACACACACACACACACACACACACACACACACACACACACACACACACACACACACACACGAGGCTACTGACACTTTGCTCACGAGGAATTTCAAGCTGTAATCTCGGTCAATCAGGTTTCGGCTCGGTGAACTACTGAATCTAATAGAGCACGTCCATATCTCTGTATCCGTATTATTGTATGAAGATTTATTTCCCTTTAAACACTGTATCCTTGAGTAAAATAACCATTTTGTAATTCTTTTATAACTAATAAATCTCAAGATTTATTCATATAATTTGATTTAAATTGCAAATCCACACCATCGTGAGTTATAACAAATTCACTTTGATCTTCAGGGGATTGAAATCAGCCGAACTAAACCAGGGGCCAGATTCACGAAGCAGTTACGCAAGCACCTACGAATCTGGACATCTTTTCTCAATCTTTAGCGGCTTTGTTTACAATTATTAAACCGTTAATGAGCTCCGAAGCACCAGGAGGCTGTTTATAACAATAACAACAGTTGATTGGGACGTTTTCATGCTTGTAAACTGTTTAATAAATATAACCAAAGGCGTCAAAGATTGAGGAAAGATGTGCACGTTTGTAAATCTAAGTACTTGTAAGTACTTGCGTAACTGCTTCGTGAATCTGGCCCCTTGTTCAATATATACTAGGTAAACGTGATATATAAAGCCTAAGACAGGTTAGGCTCAGGTAGGATTAAGTGAAGTAATATATAAATGAGGTCGAGCCTAGGATAAGTTAGTTTTTGTCTTTGCATCTCACTAATCTCACCTTCACTATTACTAACTATAAACTATATGTTTAAAATCCCGTATGTTGATTATTGCAGGCAGGGTTGTACGTTAAAACCTGAATATTGGTATGATTATGCAACTGGGTACGGTATATCAGAATGTATTATACAACTGAATACGGTATATCAATATGTATTATACGAGTAGACTGTATCGGTATTATATTATTCAACTGAGTAAGCTATATCATTATATATGAAACAACTGAATAGGCTATATCATTGTATTTATTATTTATATAAATTTGAATGATATAGCCTATTCAGTTGTTTCATATATAATGATATATAATATATAGATTTCCAGACTGTAAATATAATATTTTGTTTATTATAAGAGGTTTTATTATAAGAGGTTATAAGAGGTTTAACAATATCTCACCTCGTTAACACGAGTCTAATCACCTTTAACGTGGGGAGACCTACTGACGCCGTCGTCTAATAGGGCTGTTGTTTACGACCTTACCTGGGCGTTGGGAATAGGGAGCAAACTAGCCAACATTATTTATGTGGGCTCGAAGCCGGTCAGTTAATATAAACTACATGATGGAAAGGGTCGGACACTTAACGCAACCTACAATATGGGGGATCGAGTCTGGTTAAGTAAACACGGCGTCTCCAAGTATCCAGGTGCCCCAAACTCTGTTGTATAAACTGTATTGCTCTAAGCATTCAGGTCAGAGAAGAGGCAAAAGGGCAGAGAACACTAGAATAAATCAATTATGATCCGGTTAGATGTGATACCTTATATATGGAGAGCACTGAATGCTCACCAAACAGTTCGACACAGTAATTGCCAGGTAACTGACAATTACTGATGCCAGTAACTGCAGTTAGCAGGTGGGTACCGCTGCCTGTGGCGGGTAGTAACCAACTCTGAGTAATTCATGTGTAAACTCCGAGTAGGAACTGGGCCATAGCCTCTTTGCACAACATTATTGAATGTCCATAGTCATTAGACCCTTCAGACCTGCCTACGTGCGGTACCTGGTGTTTGGCAATTACTTTATCCATGCAAAAGTTTGCCAGTTCTGGCTGAAAGATCACATGTCCCTGTATGACAAACCGTAGTCTAGCAGACCTACATAAATCCAGATGTACCAAAGTTTAGTATACTGGATCAAACTCGGTGGCGATTGAAGACGGTATTGGAGGAAACCGTGTCCATGTGGTACTTACCATACGGCGTCTGAGGCAAGGCATCCGCTACCTTCCACAGTTGTGACTGGCGTTCCTGTAGGGCCCAGTCCTTCGTCTGCTCTCCTCTGCCTCTGCTGCCGCTCCATCCGTTCCTCCCTGCAGACACAACACAACACTTAACTCTCAAATTATACATTTTCTCACTTCCTTGTGCACGTTTATATACCAATTCGCTTCTTCATGTACATAGGAGAGTACAGTTTTTCCAGGTCAACTGAATTTCCCCTTTAACCCTGAAGCCAAGGAGGAGTCACAGTAACTTACCAGAAGCCATGATGATCGTTATGCTGTCGGCCTGGTGACGTGTGTTGTCCATATAGTGATGGTAATTGTTCTTTCCTGATGTGTAAATTGTCTCAGCTTCGACTTCGTCTCGTGTGGTGGGTGCCCGGCCCACGTGGAAGCGGTGATGCTGGCCTTGGTGGCGGCGTCTAGTGCTGGGTTTGTGTACAAGAGGGAGGGAAGGTCTCCAGTGCTGGCGGCTACCGCGGTCTCCGGACGGTGAGGAGGAGGAAAGCTCCTGATGGTGCTGATCTTCATTGGTGTTAAATCTCAGAGGCTCCCGTTGGGCGGTGGACGTGCCAAGACCCGCTTCATCTGCGTCTTGTGTCGTCGGGTGGTCGCTAAGGTAGTTAACTCCTTCGACTCTGAATCTTCGAGTTTGATGGTGCGAGCGTAATAGACGTGGCTTATAGCCCTTGATATCGTCTCTTGCTGCGCCTGTCCCTGGGGACACGACCAGCCGACGCAGGCCCTCCTCGGTGGCACGACCCTGGCCAGTGTCGTCGGATTCGTCCACTAAATAGTAGACGTCACCTTCGTGTAAGATATCTCGACCAGCCTCTGTTGAGCCCTTCGTTCTGGTGAAACATCCTTCCCTCACCGCCTCAGTTGTGTGAAGCTCCCGGACCGTGTTTACATCAGTCATCGTCTCATCCTGGAGACATACAGTACTTAATGCAGGCGACGAGTCACAATAACGTGGCTAAAGTAAGTTAACCAGACCACACACTAGAAGGTGAAGGGACGACGACGTTTCGGTCCGTCCTGGACCATTCTCAAGTCGAATCACAATCGAGTTGAGAATGGTCCAGGACAGACCGAAACGTCGTCGTCCCTTCACCTTCTAGTGTGGTCTGGTCAACTTACAGTACTTAATGTTGTGCTCACAAACACACAAACCAAATTAACAGGAATATATATCGATAAATTATACAGTAACAAAATGCAACAAGAAATACAAAATAATAAATATTAGAACAATACAGCATTTATGCGAGTGATATATGATACTAATTTGGTATACCCGATATTTCGAGACCCATATTAACTATATTAGCCAAGTTAGCCCTGCTTGAGGACCAGGAGTGGAGTGGACCGACCTGTGTGGACCAGCCAGGGCAGCAGGCGAAGATACTCCTGGTTCGGACCTGGGTCTGGTCCTGATATACAGTCCGGTGCTGAGTCCTGAGAAAGATAACAAGTGCAGAGATAATTACACTTAAAGAAACAATACCTGACTAATACACGAACCACAGATTGTGGGCTTCTTAATTGCTAACCAATATTTGATAACTTAATCATTGTGTTCGTCACACTAACAGAGCAAGACTTGCTAACTAACTTACAGCTTGTTTAGACAGCGACGCTGTATTATACAACGCTGTATTGTTGCTTAATAACAACAACACGCTGTAGCCACATACGCTAGGCACTTCGTAAATTACAGTGATACAGTCAATAATCTATTGACACATTACATTAATGTTGAACTTTATAAACATATACGTACATGTATCTCCGATACCCACACAAAAATGTCACTTTTACTGCATTAGATGACTTAAGTTCTTCAAATACCAAGTACATCTTTGAATTTTTATATACTATGCCTAATTGTAAATCAAACATATAAATTAAAACAATACGAATGTCTATTACAATTTTACAAAAATAAGACCCTAGACACGAGGACCACTGTTCATCGTCAAGAAATGATATAAACAATGGTCAATTATTATTAACTTATAAAAGTACACTTACGAACTCTTCGTACGTAAGCAGTACTGCTGGCAGTGTCTTCCTAAGACCTACACTGCTACAGGCTGTCCTCTAAGGAGGCGCCGATAAATTACAAATTGCCATTTCTAACTTTTAAAGTTACACTGACCCAATCGCTGTAAAAGAAAACAAATTATATATATATATATATATATATATATATATATATATATATATATATATATCGACAACAAATGCCCCCCCCCCATACCGTGAACATAGGTGTCGAAATGCCTTAACTATAGGTGTCGAAATGCCTTAACTATAGGTGTCGAAATGCCTTAACTATAGGTGTCGAAATGCCTTAACTATAGGTGTCGAAATGCCTTAACTATAGGTGTCGAAATGCCTTAACTATAGGTGTCGAAATGCCTTAACTATAGGTGTCGAAATGCCTTAACTATAGGTGTCGAAATGCCTTAACCATGCATATGGTAAAATATCATCCAGACTACTCCTTATATAGTTCCAGGGGATATTACAACTATCCTCTCGCCTGCCCCGCGTAAGTAATTACTGAGGGAGGAGTGGGCCACAGGACACGACACATTCCTGGTCATTTCCGACTCACCCGTATAGATACAAAATAGATTTTTAGACACCTATAAAACTCCAAATTGTGTTGCCCGCCGAGCGACACAATTTGGAGCGAGCGAAGGAACGAACCCTCACCCTTCCTTCCCATTGAACATCCCCAGGGCAAAGCTGGGTAAATAATATATCAAAAACCTTCGTTTAAACCTTCCTGCGTTGATTTAAGATTGATTTTACGTTAATAACGTTGATAGCATTGATGCTACGTTGATGAGACGTTGCTCGCTAGGCAACGCGGGCTAGCAACTCACTCCCTGACACAATGGCTTCCCCCTTCAGACGGCGCCAGTAAGGTCGGCTTCCCACGTAAGGAAAGATATTTTTTAAGACATATGGGGAAGGGAAAGACGTGTGTGGGCAGACGAAACCCTTCATTACTGGCCAGGTAAAACTACCAGGTATCCCCCCCCCACCCCCTGGCCCACCTGGCCTCCTCACACCTACCGGATAATTTCGAAGGCGTCTTAACTTTGGTATTATCGAGTTTGGTGTCAACAACGTGATAGTCTCCAGCTGTGTGCTATAGCTACCCCAGTCCCGGATTCGGGTGGCTTCAATTTCTAACAGAAACGTCGCCTTTTTAACGAATTAGACGATTTTGTAAACAAAATCACGGCCGATTACGTGTTATAATAAACTAGTATTTTAAGGAGAGAAGACGTTACCTTAAGTAACGTTATGCGTGATGTCAGGTAACGCTGTGTGGTGGAACTCTTACTTAATGGGTCGTTTAGGTAACGCAATGGACCGATCCGTTGTCTTGGAATTATTCGATTGGATCAGTTCATTTATTATGTATTATGTATACACGCCCTCCAGTGAGTGGTAGTGGACCCCATACTACCCCCCCCCCGCTCCCTTAAGTGGTAGTGGACCCCATACTACCCCCCCCCCGCTCCCTTAAGTGGTAATGGACCCCATACCCCCCCCGCTCCCTTAAGTGGTAGTGGACCCCATACCCCCCCCGCTCCCTTAAGTGGTAGTGGACCCCATACCCCCCGCTCCCTTAAGTGGTAGTGGACCCCATAACCCCCGCTCCCTTAAGTGGTAGTGGACCCCATACCCCCCGCTCCCTTAAGTGGTAGTGGACCCCATACCCCCCGCTCCCTTAAGTGGTAGTGGACCCCATACCCCCCCGCTCCCTTAAGTGGTAGTGGACCCCATAACCCCCCGCTCCCTTAAGTGGTAGTGGACCCCATAACCCCCGCTCCCTTAAGTGGTAGTGGACCCCATACCCCCCGCTCCCTTAAGTGGTAGTGGACCCCATACCCCCCCGCTCCCTTAAGTGGTAGTGGACCCCATAACCCCCGCTCCCTTAAGTGGTAGTGGACCCCATACCCCCCGCTCCCTTAAGTGGTAGTGGACCCCATAACCCCCTGCACTCACTTGCGCGGTAGTAGAAGAGGTTGCAGAGGCGCATCCTGGTCTCGGTACATGCATGTGCCCCACATGTGTACAGGAAGGTAACATAAGACCTGTCGTAAGACCTGTCGTAAGCCCCGCGTGGCTCCCCGCCCAGGGGACTTACGACAAGAGGCGCTGGTCTGACGCAGCCTAGTCCATAACAAAAAATTAACATTAACAGTGCACTGAAGCTATCTATCACAACACCTGTTCTTTAAGTAGTCTGTCTATTATTCAACCTCAACTGCTTAATAACTTTACTTTTTTATCGTGCTTTTATATATATATAAATTTTAAGTTATCGTGAAAAGAGATACATTTCGATTCCGTTCCAATTAACAGATTTTCAAAACAGTTCTTTAAACTTACTAATATATTTTTTGTGTCTTATGGATTTAAATATATTGAATGTCCTTAACAACCGTCCTCTTAAGCATCTTGGTGAAGTTGTGATGCATCTCTTGGTAGCCTCAACTGTTATTTCTCTTTCTTGATACGAATTCGTGTATTATCTAATGGTAGGGCTTCGCCGTTTTCAAGATTTCTGTTCCATCATTGATATATATATTCCCCGCCACCATGGGAGTAGAAACCCGACACCAGGGAGTAGAAACCGCTACCATGGAAGTAGAAAACCGTCACCATGGAAGTAGAAAACCGTCACCATGGAAGTAGAAAACCGTCACCATGGAAGTGACGGTTTCAAATTTTGAAACCTTGTGGCGGTTGTGTTTACATTCAACTGTTCACGAGTTTCAACACTTCACAACCCGAGGCTATTAACGTTATCAACAACCCCACTGTGCTTCACAGTTCATACAACCTTTGGTAAATGTAAAGAGAGCCGCCATGGTTGAGGAAAGATGTACAGGTTTCTTTAAGTGGTTCTGTAAATGTCTGACGCGTCCAGGGCTGCGTCGGCTCTATCACACTGCCTCGATAGGCACCGCCTTTTATACCATTAATGGGTTTGGTCATATCTACATTTGTGCCTTTGAATGGAATTAGCCTTCTCTCTCTCTCTCTCTCTCTCTCTCTCTACTTGATGCTCTGAGGGCATTTATTATTTTATCTCTTTTTGCTCATTTGGGTGTTCGGTTCCCATTTGTGGTGCCTGGACGTGATTGCTCATCTTTCAAGCAGCATGTCACCCCACCTCCCGCCCCCGCCACAGATTGTTAAGGGTGTAGGGGATCGTGCCCCCCCCCCCACACCCTCACACAGTCCTGAAAGCAGTTCATACATTTGTCATCGTCGCAAATGGAGCGTAAATTAATTTTATGTTTGTGTGTTTAACGTGAGAGTTTGCAACATCCACCTTAAGGCTTTGCTTTTTCCGACTCTGAACACTGCTTCCCTTTCAGGGGGGAGCAATGCTACATTTTCTCCTTTACCCCCTGTCTTCTCATCCCCTAATACCTTGCATTTTTAAGGCTTGAAGTCTAGTAGCCACTTGCTGGAACATTTCAGTCATGTCTTCTTGCAGCATTTTTCAACCTTTTCGTTCTTAGTCTTCTGGTTTTGGTCTGTGAACATCACAGAGTATGAAGGGCAGTATATGGCCCTCAGGACTGACGCTGAGGAAACGCCGCTCGTGATATTCAATCCACATTGGCACCTCGAATATTGTGACCACTGGTGCTATGTAGTCATCACCTAGTGTTGTAGGTCACTACATCACACCCTCTGCTGTGGTCACCATAGGGTGATCACACCCTCTTCTGTGGTCACCATAGGGTGATCACATCCTCTTCTGTGGTCACCATAGGGTGATCACACCCTCTTCTGTGGTCACCATAGGGTGATCACACCCTCTTCTGTGGTCACCATAGGGTGAGCACACCCTCTTCTGTGGTCACCATAGGGTGATCACACCCTCTTCTGTGGTCACCATAGGGTGATCACACCCTCTTCTGTGGTCACCATAGGGTGATCACACCCTCTTCTGTGGTCACCATAGGGTGAGCACACCCTCTTCTGTGGTCACCATAGGGTGATCACACCCTCTTCTGTGGTCACCATAGGGTGATCACACCCTCTTCTGTGGTCACCATAGGGTGATCACACCCTCTTCTGTGGTCACCCTAGGGTGATCACACCCTCTTCTGTGGTCACCCTAGGGTGATCACACCCTCTTCTGTGGTCACCATAGGGTGATCACACCCTCTTCTGTGGTCACCCTAGGGTGATCACACTCTCTTCTGTGGTCACCATAGGGTGATCACACCCTCTTCTGTGGTCACCATAGGGTGATCAAACCCTCTTCTGTGGTCACCATAGGGTGATCACACTCTCTTCTGTGGTCACCATAGGGTGATCACACCCTCTTCTGTGGTCACCATAGGGTGATCACACCCTCTTCTGTGGTCACCATAGGGTGATCACACCCTCTTCTGTGGTCACCATAGGGTGATCACACCCTCTTCTGTGGTCACCATAGGGTGATCACACCCTCTTCTGTGGTCACCATAGGGTGATCACACTCTCTTCTGTGGTCACCATAGGGTGATCACACCCTCTTCTGTGGTCACCATAGGGTGATCACACCCTCTTCTGTGGTCACCATAGGGTGATCACACCCTCTTCTGTGGTCACCATAGGGTGATCACACCCTCTTCTGTGGTCACCATAGGGTGATCACACCCTCTTCTGTGGTCACCATAGGGTGATCACACCCTCTTCTGTGGTCACCATAGGGTGATCACACCCTCTTCTGTGGTCACCATAGGGTGATCACACCCTCTTCTGTGGTCACCATAGGGTGATCACACCCTCTTCTGTGGTCACCATAGGGTGATCACACCCTCTTCTGTGGTCACCATAGGGTGATCACACCCTCTTCTGTGGTCACCATAGGGTGATCACACCCTCTTCTGTGGTCACCATAGGGTGATCACACCCTCTTCTGTGGTCACCATAGGGTGATCACACCCTCTTCTGTGGTCACCCTAGGGTGATCACACCCTCTTCTGTGGTCACCATAGGGTGATCACACCCTCTTCTGTGGTCACCCTAGGGTGATCACACCCTCTTCTGTGGTCACCATAGGGTGATCACACTCTCTTCTGTGGTCACCATAGGGTGATCAAACCCTCTTCTGTGGTCACCCTAGGGTGATCACACCCTCTTCTGTGTCCTCCCTAATGGCACTCCCCCCCTCCTCCTCCTGCACCTCTGTAACTGGCACCTCTTGCACCTCCCTCCACAGGCACTCACCTCCTCTTGAAGTCGACGCAGGCGGAAGTGTTGACGGAGCATCCGGAACGGTAAACCCTGACGGTAGAGGTGAAGCTGTAGACTTTCGGCACTCGAACCTGGACCTGCTCCTGCCTCTGGTACTCGCACACGTGCGGCCTGTCAGAGGGGAAGAGAGATGCGCCAGGTTATCATTGTACCGATTGTTGGGAACAAAATGTAGCGATAACCGCAATTCGCACCGAGACAAATGGTATTATTGCATGCAATTCTAATCAAATACAAAACTATTAGTAATACAATTAATACAGTGTAATGTAAATATCAGTAATAATTGTCCTGGACTAGTTTAGGACTAAAATACTTTGCGGTTGGTCAGTAAACTAGTGAGGAGACGTTGGTAACCCTCAGGCTCTTAATGTTGAATTCTGTAGCGGGTTACGGAGCAGTAGCGGGTCGCCAAGGACAGTCGGCCCAGGACAGCCGGCACAGGACAGCCGGCCAAAGACAGCCGGCCAAAGACAGCCGGCCAAAGACAGCCGGCCATGGACAGCCGGCCAAAGACAGCCGGCCATGGACAGCCGGCCAAGGACAGCCGGCCAAAGACAGCCGGCCAAGGACAGCCGGCCAAAGACAGCCGGCCATGGACAGCCGGCCAAAGACAGCCGGCCATGGACAGCCGGCCAAGGACAGCCGGCCAAAGACAGCCGGCCAAGGACAGCCGGCCATGGACAGCCGGCCAAGGACAGCCGGCCATGGACAGCCGGCCCAGGACAGCCGGCCCAGTACTAAAGTCACCGTTATGAATGCGAGCAAAAAACATGTTATAACTAAACAAGCGAACTACAATTCCCAGATTAGATTAGGCAGATTAGGGATTAGATTAATCCTCAGATTAGGCAAAATTGTAATTAATTTTGTCAATAAAGATGTTAATAATAATAATAATAATGGATAAATTAACTTAAAAACATCCTATTACAAACGCAAATATTAAGATAACAGACATGTAAGCGCGCTTCAGTTTCCATTAACAAAGGGAGATAAGCGTTTTATGTAAATTATGGAAAGTTTAAACAAGGCTTTTAAAACCCTTTCTCACGTTGATGGTGTCGTTATCAGCTCATCTCGTGGGCATGTGTTGTGGGTGCCCATAGATGGGGTGCCCCACACGCCCCCCTGACGGGGGTGCTGGTCCCCCCATAGATGGGGGGCGGGGGGGGGCAAGATTCCGGCGGCTTGATCAAAGGTTTCCCCCTAACGATATTGTCCAATTTATTAACTAACACGTACACAAAAGTGACTTTTGAAATTAGCATAATTGGTAAGATCAAAGTAAATTCAGCAATGAATAATATTCCATAAAAAAACAAATCAAGCCTGTCTTAGAGGAAAAAACTGGGGCGCCGCGCGGGCAGGAGTCAGACACTCTTGATGAGATACTGTCTTCTGGAATACTTCACACATGAACAACCGCTGCTGATGCAGTTGTGTCCACTGCGACAGCTGGTATATATCTTCACCCCCGAGTGGCTGCCATCACACGGGAGACATCTCCCGTCACGCAGGGTGCAGTCGCACCTCCACAGATCTCCAGTATCATCTATTGATACTGGAAATGGCTCAAAAGGGCCACCACTTATGGGCTATTCATGCCCAAGCCACCTTTTGGGTGGCTTAATCTTCTCTCTGTCTCGCTGCCATCAGAAGCGAGAATGTACTCCCCACTGCACCACCATGGAGCCGTTCGGCCGAGCGGACAGCTCACTGGACTTGTGATCCTGTGGTCCCGGGTTCAATCCCGGGCGCCGGCGAGAAACAATGGGCAGAGTTTCTTTCACCCTATGCCCCTGTTACCTAGTAGTAAAATAAGTACCTGGGTGTTAGTCAGCTGTCACGGGCTGCTTCCTGGGGGTGGAGGCCTGGTCGAGGACCGGGCCGCGGGGACACTTAAGCCCCGAAATCATCTCAAGATAACCTCAACCTCACTCCACCAGCCACTAGCTAAACCTTACATCAAATACACGCAAGTTTTTTTCAATTTATATTTGTTCTCATTGTTTTCATCGGTCGATGGTTCGCATCGCAGCTGTGCCTCATCGCAGCTGTGCCTCATCGCAGCTGTGCCTCATCGCAGCTGTATCGCATCTCTGACGAACTGGTCGAGCTAATTTAGACTATCTTGAGGTTATCTTGAGATGATTTCGGGGCTTTTTAGTGTCCCTGCGGCCCGGTCCTCGACCAGGCCTCCACCCCCAGGAAGCAGCCCGTGACAGCTGACTAACACCCAGGTACCTATTTTACTGCTAGGTAACAGGGGCATAGGGTGAAAGAAACTCTGCCTATTGTTTCTCGCCGGCGCCCGGGATCGAACCCGGGACCACAAGAACGAACCCGGGACCACAGGATCACAAGTCCAGCGTGCTGTCCGCTCGGCCGACCGGCTCACTACACATGTTCACAAGGCTACACGACACATATGTTCCAGCTGTGTAATCCTACGAGGAAGGACAATTCGCCAGACACGCACACACTCAGCTACCAACAACGACCCTCATCATTATTCCAACACACGCCTCGTTATATTCCTGTGTCTCACCCTCCAACGCTCCCTACCTCCTGTACACACCACGCACTCAAGAGTCAACTGCGATCAATCAGACTTGCCGTGAATGCGTTTCGTGTAAATCTTTGCTCTTACACCAGCTCGAGGTCGGCCCACCTTAGTACCCCTTCTTAAAGCATACAAAATAACGACTTCGCTTCCATTCCGACACTTAGACCTAGACCTCGCCAAGTATCAGGCGATAATGCCGATGTCTCTACCCAGGTCTTCTGCTCCCCAACAACCCGAGAAGAGTTCTGGAGTTTTGCCCAATGTCTTACCTAGTGTTTACTTGGCTCTTTTACCCTTACCCTATGTTTGATCACCCCGTCACCTCACCCCACACACCCCCTCGATCCTTTCACGTGTGTACATGTGTGCTTAACACAGAGGTTTTACCATGTAGCACGGCTCGCTACATGTAGCTACATGTTTACCTCTTGTAGCAGCACACACAAGCATATAGCCCCGCTCCTGTGCCAGGTAAGTCCACTAGGGGCTCACCGTAGCCCGTGCTACTTGGAACTTTCTGTTTCCAGTAGCTGAATCTACAACAACAACAACCTCTTCTAATTCATTCTTTAACTGAAGATGTTTCGGAGAGGGACGAAATGTTGTAGCAGATAAATCCTTCAATAATTACTAAGAGTTTCCTTACCGTACATTTGGGTAACTTGATTCCTCTTCATATTACTTTAGTTTAAACTACTTTATTCGTAAGTGCTTGTACATTTAAAATTGTGATCTTTATTTGTGATTTGAGTAATGGGAAATGTAAATTACGATCACATGTCATGTATTCTGAAGTAAGTAATCAGACAAATTAATGGGTCATGTCTAGATGTACAGTTTAACGTGAAAGACCTGTCGAGGAAGATAAGTTTCTCTAGCTGGTGTTCTAAGTCCTTTTCTAATTGGTTCGGAAGGTACTCGCTGCCTTCACTAGTCCAATTCAAGTAAGACTGTAAGATTAGAGACATCCTACAGAGCCAAGCTTCAGTGCCAGATCTTGTAGTCAGCTTAAACTGAGCTTTTAAGAGACCAACATCTCCACAGAGAGAGAGAGAGAGAGAGAGAGAGAGAGAGAGAGAGAGAGAGAGAGAGAGAGAGAGAGAGAGAGAGAGAGAGAGAGAGAGAGAGAGAGAGAGAGAGAGAGAGAGAGAGACTGTCAGTGTCTCAGGAGGTCGGTACAGCTCTCTTATATATCTGTCAATTAGTGTGTTCTGTGGCTTGTCTTCCCACCTCTGTCTCTCCGACGATCTTAACCCCATTCTACACCAGTCGCTCCTCGACTCCTGTTACCACACACTGGACTTGTTACCACACACTGGACTTGTACACACACACCACATGGGCTGGTCGGTGAGTCCTCAGTCAGTCAGTCAATGAGGATAATGCCTACATTCCTCACGAACGTTGACCGGCTACTTAGGTAGATGCCTACTCCCTCCCTATTCTCCATATTTCCTTCTAGCTTTGATTATTTTTCCCCATTTATTATTATCCTTAAATCGGGCAAATGTGGTGCAGCAGTTGTGAGGTGTGAATGGTGGTGGTGGGGGGCACAGCGGTGGTGGTGGGGGGCACAGCGGTGGTGGTGGGGGGGCACAGATTGGTTTTATTTTCGTCATTGCTTGGTTCATACCCTGAGGAACGCCTGAGACACATTTCCCCCTCACACCCCCTCATTCTCACCTTCCCCCCCCCACTCTCTCACTTTATCACTCATTTTCACCCGTCTTGTGCCTCTCCACCAGTTGCCATCTCTCGCTCACTCTCAATGCTTCCACTTTACATTTTTGTTTTCAAAATATTTTCGTACATGGGTATAAGAGGCGACTTGCCCTCATTGGTTCACAAAGTTGGGTACATTGTGGACACATTCTCACTCCCGCACGCTGGGCTTAGAACATTCCTCTTATATATATATATATATATATATATATATATATATATATATATATATATATATATATATATATATATTAGAATCCACCCCACTAGAATGGATAGCCGGCTACGACCGGGTCTCTCTCTCTCTCTTCTCTTTTCCTCTCCCAGCCTCTCTTCCCCCTCTCTAACTTTCTTCCAATATCCATCCTCTCTTTCCCCCCATCTGTACTCTCTCTCACATCTCTCCCATTCTTCTTCCCTCTCATCAAGCATTCCTCCTACTCTTTCCTCTTCCTTCTCTCTCTTGAAACATCCCCCTTCTCTCAACTCTTGCTCTTCCCTCTCACCCCCTCCCGTGAGAGAGAGAGAGAGAGAGAGAGAGAGAGAGAGAGAGAGAGAGAGAGAGAGAGAGAGAGAGAGAGAGAGAGAGAGAGAGAGAGAGAGAGAGAGAGAGAGAGAGAGAGAGAGACAGAGAGAGAGAGAGACAGAGAGATACCTAACACTCTCCACAGAACACATAGACAGGTATCATTAATTGCTCTTCACAGGTAAGAATGCCTGAGAATTTAGCACGAATCATGTCCCTTCTTGAGCGCCGTCAGTCGGGGTACGGCGGCGTCCGCTCGTGTGTGAGCATCAATCCCCGTCAAAACACCAAAAT